CACGAAACGTGTGAGGGGTGTGCCGAAATGGGTGTGCGGGACGCATGCGGGCGGCAGCACTGGGGCCTTCGGTGGAGCTCCCTGTGGGGCCACGAAACGTGTGAGGGGTGTGCCGAAATTGGTGTGCGGGACGCATGCGGACGGCAGCCATGGGGCCTTCGGTGGAGCTCCCTGTGGGGCCACGAAACGTGTGAGGTGTGCCGAAATGGGTGCGCGGGACGCATGCGGGCGGCAGCCATGGGGCCTTCGGTGGAGCTCCCTATGGGGCCACGAAACGTGTGAGGGGTGTGCCGAATTGTGTGTGGGTGACGCATGCGGGCGGCAGCACTGGGGCCTTCGGTGGAGCTCCCTATGGGGCCACGAAACGTGTGAGGGGTGTGCCGAACTGCTAAGGCTGACGATGCGGGCGGCGGCACTGGGCCTTCGGGGAGCTCCCTATGGGGCCACGAAACCGTGTGAGGGGTGTGCCGAAGGAGTGTGGCTGACGCATGCGGGCGGCAGCACTGGGGCCTTCGGTGGAGCTCCCTATGGGGCCACGAAACGTGTGAGGGGTGTGCCGAATTGGGTGTGGCTGACGCATGCGGGCGGCGGCACTGGGGCCTTTGGTGGAGCTCCCTATGGGGCCACGAAACGTGTGAAGGGTGTGCCGAAATGGGTGTGGGACGCATGCGGGCGGCGGCACTGGGGCCTTCGGTGGAGCTCCCTATGGGGCCACGAAACGTGTGAGAGGAGATAGTGGTGATGACTGCGATGATGATGACGATGATGGTGATGAGGACGGTCGCGAGGATTATGACGAAGATGATGATGGCGGTGATGATGACGACGACGACGACAACGATGATGATGATGACGATGATGGTGGGAGGAGGGAGGAGGAAGGAGAGGGAGGAGGAGAGGAGAGGAGGAGAGGAACGCGGGGCACCGTCTCTTCACAACGAGGACCCAACACCACAGGATGGTTGGGAATTAATAGTATGGGTATTAGTAGTAGTCCCCTTAGTATTAGGACGATTAGCAAAGTTACTCGAATGAATTATTTTTGTTCGTAAATGCATTCATATTATTATCCGCCTTCTTCGCAGCTTCATTTAAAAACGATAAAAATTGTCTTCATATCACACTTTTTTACTAGGATTATCCTTCCTCGTTGCAACATTAGTCTTAGTCGGAGGTGAGGGGGTGAGATCGAAGTGGAACGGAGAGCCCCCTTACCGGGAAATCGATTTCGGTTTCGTGTTCGTGCGTGCCGTGCGTGCGGGCGAGGCGAAGCTGCGTGGGCGGGCGAGAGAAAGTCTCCTGTGGCTGAGGCGCGGCCGGACCAAATGATTCCCTTCCGGGCGGCCGGGGCCCCGCGGTGTCCCGCCGGTGTCCCGCTGGTGTCCCGTGTGGCTGAGGCGCGGCCGAACCAAATGATTCCCTTCCGGGCGGCCGGGGCCCCGCGGTGTCCCGCCGGTGTCCCGCTGGTGTCCCGTGTGGCTGAGGCGCGGCCGGACCAAATGATTCCCTTCCGGGCGGCCGGGGCCCCGCGGTGTCCCGCCGGTGTCCCGTCCGTGTCCCGTCGGTGTCCCGATGATGATGTTGATGATGATTATGATGATGATTCTAATGATGATGATGGTGATAATGATGATGATGATGATGATGATGATGATGGTGATAATGATGATGATGTTGATGATGGCGATGATGTGAGATCGATTGTCAGATCGCTTGTGAGATCGATTGTAAGATCGATTGTGATGCCGAATGTGAGATCGATAATGAGATCGATAGTGAGATCGATTGTGAGATCGAACGTGAGATCGAATGTCAGATCGCTTGTGAGATCGATTGTGAGATTGATTGTGATACCGAATGTGAGATCGATAATGAGATCGATAGTGAGATCGATTGTGAGACCGAATGGGATATCGATTGTGAGATCGATTGTGATATCGATAGTGAGATCGATAGTGAGACCGAATGTGAGATCGATTGTGGAATCTATTGTGAGATCGATAGTCAGATCAATTGTGAGATCGCTCGATTGAGTTAGTAGTGAGATCACTAGCGGTAATGAGATCGGTAGTGATTTCGATAGTGAGATCGATGATGAGACCGAATGTGAGATTGATTGTGAGTTCAGTTGTGATATCGATAGTGAGATCGATAGTGAGATCGATAATGAGATCGAAAGTGAATTCGATAGAGAGATCGATAGTGAGGCCGAATGCGAGATCGATTGTGAGATCGATTGTGATATCGATAGTGAGATCGATAGTGAGACCGAATGTGAGATCGATAATGAGATCGATAGTGAG